AAAATGGATCAGGGCTGAGTCATGCACTGAAGAAATCAGCTCATTGAATATCTACTAACTGCCCCCCCACCCCCAACCTTACAGAATGATTCATTCGGACAAATCATTTAGTGCAAATAAGATCTGAAAAGGAAATGTATAAGAATATGTGTTTTCAAGTCTGCCCGGCACGTAAGCTGACGAGATTCCCAGGGAGGTCTGTGCTGGGTGGTACTTGGGGAGACCAGTTCTAATGGTTTCAGGAACTCGAAAGTACTAAAATGGAATCTCTTTTCTTAAAAGCACCATAATTCAGTCTTGTCACTAATTCAGACAGCGTCTCCCCCAATTAGGAAGGTTAAACCATAGATCACACTCTGCATATAAATTGCTAGATAAAACCGAATCGTCTTAGTGGTTGGTAGCCAAGGGGTGACATTATTCTCTTCAACTTGTTCAACCGAAAGAAAGAGCAAATCCTGTCCAATTGAAAAGGAAGAACTTTTTGAAAGGTATTTTATCTAATTCGTGACCAATAAAAAATGAAACGCCTTTCATCTTTAGCCACCTGGCCCTTTGGGAAAGTCATGTTTTCTGAAAAAAATCTCAAAACTGAAAGGAAGAAAATGCTGTTTAAGTAATCCACGGATTTCCAGAGATCCAGGGCCCGATCAGATAGAACAGTTTCTGGGCGAGGTGTGTTTCTATTTTGCAAAAGGGGACGGGTCCTTTCTGGGACTTCAGTTGGGGTTCAGAATTTCGTCTCAAAGCACTCTTCTAAATCTAAACTCTTCAGATGCATCAGACAAAAAGACACCTCTATACCCTAGTTCTGAAGGGAGAGACCCATTTTCTTGCTGGCTTCAGGGGGAAGGTGCTGGTGGCAGAGGGCTCGGTTTACTGTCCCTGTTTCAAGCCCCGGGGCAGGTCACATGCCGCAGCTCACCTGGGGCGCAGGGCCCAGCGGTCCCTTCCTCTCAAGGAAGGCTGCTCGCGCTAACCGCCAGGTGGGCAGGACTCCTGCAGGTTCGCTTCAGAGCAGCAACTTTCTTTTGCTTCGCTTTGATTTTCTCCATCCTGGCAATTGAAGACAAACAGAGAAAGCCATTCTCTTCTCCCGCGGTCAAAACACCTTTGCCATTCTGTTGGTTTCCGTGCTTGCCTTTTCCCCTAAACCCGAGGCAGAGGAAGAGACGCCTCGATATCCCCTCCTACCTTTCCCTTAGTTAAGAGGGCGACACCCCCCAGCCCCCGCCCAACAACCAGTGTCTCGGGCACCCACGTGGATGGGATCCTCTTCCAGGTGTGCATGGGGTCCATGGTGGGAGGAGCACGAGGGCTGACAGCTCTCTGCTTCAGAAGGTGGAGTGGCTTCACAAGTGGAGTTCGCTAACCCCAGATGACGGCCGGGCAGCTGAGGGGCTGGAGTTGGGGGTCTCGGTGGTCTCAGATAGTTTGAGAATTTAGACTTAAGCAGGCAACAAAACAGAGCTCCACCAACTTCATCAGGCACACATCGTGATTTCTCCAATGTTAATTACTGTTTAAAGTTGATTACAGTCCATTCACTTGTACAGCTTCGTCTCATGCTAAGCAATAATATCCTTAAAGTCACTCACTGGGTGGTCTAGATACTCCCCCTCCAAAGCGCATTAAGATAAATAATGTAACCTTTAAGCGGAAAATTCATACATGCGTGACCACTGAAAACCTTCCTGGGTACCACCTGGGGTGCATGCGTTGTAGCGCTTTGGAAGATGCAACATGGTCTGGGCTGAGTAGAGTAGCGGGTGTCCCCTCTTAGCCAGGGACAGCCTGAACCAAGGCTCAGACCAAAGAAGGCAAATGGCCTTTTGGGGGAACAGTGACTTAGGCAAAGCAGAAAGTCTGAGCCATCAAGAGCTTAAAGAAAGCATCACCTCCTCATCTAAGAATTACATCAGGGGATGGATCTTTCCAGGGGAAGCTCATGTTCCCATCACACTCAAGAGCCTGGCCTTTGTTTTCAGGGTTGGAAGAATCAGCCTGCAATTTCTGCCACCGCCATCCCCTGATTGACCCACATTCACAGCCTGTTACCGCCCCATACTCTGAGCAATGGCGCATTGCCAGTCTGAGGCTTTTACTCATGGTGAAATTCAAAAATAAGAAAAAGAAAGAAAAAGGGGAAGTCTATAACAAAGAAAGAAAGAAGTGATAAGTTGGCAGCTCCTTTGCAAGGGCCATGCTTCCAGGGTGAAGAAAGAAAAGCCAACATAACTGCTTCTCGATGACCCATCGGGATTTTTTCTCGTCTTATTTTTTTCTTGTCTTCGTCACGGCGTTCCAATGTCTCCCTCAAGGACAGTGCCCAGAGCTCAGCACCCCTGTGTGGGCCAAAAAATATATGTAAGAAATCATCCTGTGTGCATTTTAAGTATCTTACATATGTGTCTTATATGTAGCTTATAGGGAACATCTAGGGAAAGTCTTTGTACATTCTGTTGGCAAAACATCACTACCTGGTTTTGCACGAAAAGTCAAGATGAAATGCGTCAATCATACATCAATTCGTATAACAAGACAGCTCGAGCCAGCTGCTCAAGATGAATTCTTTTCTCCTTTCTCCCCAAAGGGCATAAGCCTCCAGAACATCAAGACCAAGTTTAGCTCAACAGATTGAGGACAGAACACCCAACAAACCGTGGAAACTTTGTATAGGACTGGATGCTTGCAACTTGCCGGAAGACTGGCCATGCTTGGGCGGGTCTTAGGGTGAGAGGCAGTGGAGTTTGAGGGGACCGTGTGCTCAGCGGCGCATCTGCGTTCTAGAATGCTAGCCTGCACTCCGGAAACGGAGGGTGGGACCCCTTGGGGCTGAGCCTGTCCCTTCCCTTTGGCACAGATGTCACTCCCGTCAATGAAGGCGAGTAGCCCCCAGGGCTGGTGGATGATCTGTTTATGTCAGGTGAGGAGCTGTCACTAGAAGGGGCCATCAGGCAAGCTGGTCAAGCAGCTACGTAAACAGGGACAGAAGCCTGAGACTCGGATGGGCAGGGCTACCTAGAGAGGTTCCCGAAGCCCCGGACCTCTGCGGGGCTGGGAGGGCTCTGCACAGAAGTCGGCCAACCTCCCCTTCGACTCTGAGCTGAGCCTGGTCCCTCACGGCCATGGGGTTACTGTCGGCAGAGAGAGAAGCTGGTCCTTTGCCCTTGCCCTTCCTCTGTGTTTACAAGTCAGTACCTCCTAGGATCTCATGGCCCTACACAATTTGAGGCCCCAAGGAAATGACCAGGACCGGATCCCAGACTTGGGAGGAAGCGGCGTTATGTTGGAGGGGCTGCATCTGTCCTGCTCTGATCCTGGCCAGATGGACAACCCCAGGCAGGTGACCCACTCTGAGTGTCATCTCTTCCTCTGCCGAGGGGAGGGTTGAGATGAGATGGCCTGAGGTCTCTGAGAGTTCTAAAGGGTTGTGATCTTTCAACTAAAAGTTCTTTCGTGTCTAATCGAGCCCCTGACACCTGATGCCTTTCTCCTGGGTTTCCTGGTACCTGGACGCTAAGGCTTTGGCAGCGTCCAGATCAGCTACCACGTAAAGGTGGTAATAACTCAGGAATATCTGTCGCTGTATTAGCAGGAAGGTTAAACACATGGCATCCCACAGGACCCCTGCTTCCTTTTCTGGGGGTTCACAGGCTTCATCCTCGGGGACGGCTGCATGGAAGACAGGAGAATCCGGGAGTCTTGTGGCCAGTGCCTGGGGTGTGGCCACCGCTCTCGATGGGGAGAGCTAGGTCTCTCCCCCCACCCCCATCTGCACCAGCACCTCCCTGGAGCCGCAGCATCCCCTTCCCGGTTCCTTTTCAGTCGCGGGGCGACTCAGGCAGAGCCCGGGGTAAACAGGGAGCTGATGCCTGGGGGTGGGGGGAGAGGTAATCCAAGGGGCTTGAGAACCTTCCACCTCAGTCTCGCTGGGATGTTCAGAAACCTTGTCTCCGTGGCCACAGCATTAAGCCCCGGAGCGCCAGACTTGTTTGTGAAAGATGAGATATGTGAGCTCACATGTTTTCTTGACAAACCAAGAGAGAGAGAGGGAGAGCCGAGCCGAAGATGTCACTCAGAGGCAAAAGTTAAAATAAACACGTTTCTCCTTTTCCTCCGTTCATGAGAGGAAGCCGCTGACAGCTCCAGTCAGGCAGAACCCAAGGCTCTTCCCTCTCTAAACAGGCCCGAAGCCCGGGAGTCAGCGGCGTGGCTGGAGTTTTGCCAACTCCGGTGAAGGGCTCTTGGTACAGAGTGGGAAACTCCCTAAAGCCCAGAGGCCGTTGGCTGGAGGGTGCCGTGCCCTTGACTTGGCATTGGGTCGCAAGGCAGAGTCTCACTCTCTCTCTTCTTTTCATTTGGTCCCTGGATTTTCTCCGAGAGAATGGTGGTCTCTTAATTTCTACCGGGGCTTCCCTCCATGTCACGTGAGACAGCGGTCTGGCAACACGGTCAAATGCAGCCCGTGAACTTGGACTGGATTCTGAGTCCAAATAATGATAATGATAGAAATAGCTGTCATGACCCATTTAGGAGCAACTGGGGGCATTAGCACGTAGACTGAGTATTAGGTGGCTGGGGAGCCGGAGTTGGTTTTTTCAGGATGAGCAGATAAGAACGTGGTTAGAGGGAGACGCAAGAGGGAAGAGATATGGGAACATATGTATAGGTATAACTGATTCACTTTGTTATACAGCAGAAACTAACACACCATTGTAAAGCAATTATACTCCAATAAAGATGTTAAAAAAAAAAAAAAGAACGTGGTTATGTAGGAGAACGTCTTGGTGTTTGCACCTTTCCTCCTGGTGATTTCACAAAAATATGTCCACACACCCAAGTACAGGAAGAGCAAAAGGTGGCAAAATAAACTGTAAATCTAGGGGGGAGTGGGGGTGACCATTGTACGATTCTTTCCACTCTTCTGTGCCTCTGATCTTATTTTCCTAACGACACACGCGGGCTCTGCACTGGCCGTGCTGAACTGGGGGACTTACCTAACTGGTACCCTGGGACCGTGCAGTCCAGGCCGAAACTGTGGACCAGCCAGCAGTGGGAGATGAGTAAAGCCTCCAGGTACACACATGCGCCGACCTGCAAGAGAGGAAGAGTGTGGAAGATTCGCCGTGCCCGTGTCTGCACCGTCCCCGGTGTGGCCTTGCTGTTCAGTGGCACCTTTCATTTGTCTCCGTAGTTGTGACCTCGAGTGTGCTGGTGCCCCGGAAGAGCAGAATTTGGCTGCTCAGCCTAAGAGGCCTAATCGTCCTCCTCCCCAAGAACATAAGGAGGGGTTTACCCAGAGCCCATGGAAGGATCTTCCATGTCGAGAGGAGCCGAGCGTCAGCAGCTGAGTGGCCGTGAGCAAAGGTGCGGCCCCCTGGAGGGCTATTGCCCTTCCCTCCCCTCGCTCCTAACGTTCTCAGCAGTAAAGTCACCACGCTGCCTCCAAAGACTCCTTCCTGCTCCCACCACGCCGCCTCCGAAGACTCCTTCCTGCTCCCACCACGCCGTCTCCGAAGACTCCTTCCTGCTCCCACGGTCTGTGAGTTTTATAAAGGAAGACCTATTAGCCATTAGAAGACGAAGTCCTAAGATGTATGATACGAAAGGACGTGGTGGTATCCCCGCCCGTGGAGATGCAATAAGATAAACTGGGGATACGATTGTCACCATTACAGTAAAATCTAGTTTATTGGACAGGCAATCACTCAGAAGTTTTGGGGCCAATGACGACCAATATTCTGAGTGATGACCTGAGGCTTGGAGACCTCCAAAGAATGACTCCATTATGCTGAGTGGAGTCTCAATGTGTAGCTGGGTTGCAAGTTGTGCCCAAGGCATGGCCAATCAGGCAAAGAACCAGCACTGGGGTCTGGAGATGGGGCGGGGGGTTGGCGGCGTCCCAAATGTCTCCTAGACTAGCAGGTGGTACCGGGCTGGCCTCTTCTGGTACTTCTCTGTCTGCATCTCTCATGTGGAAATCTTAAGTCCTACCAACCCAAGACGGGGGTAGGGAGGGAGCCACCAAATAATCTCTCGAGACCCCTTCCAGTTTCAGACCCATGACTTCCCTAGCCTTCAAACTGCTGCATCTACTCGGCTCCGTGTTATTCTACTTTGCCCTTTGTAATGTGCACGCTACCACGGTCTAGCACCGTGAACACACCCCAGGATCGCTGGGGTATCATCTCCAGGTGATTAGCTAGATCATGAAGCGTGTTTTCTATTGCACATCCTTCCTTTCCCTCTTGATTTCCTTGGGTTCAGAGCTCTTCAACATCAAAAGCTACTCCGCGAAGCACAGCCTGCGTCGTGCGTGACACACGGGGGGATCGTTTTACATCTTTCCACCTTTGGTAAACAGATCTTTGAAAAAGGCCTTTTAAGATGACTGTTGATTTTGGCAGTACCTTTTTTAGGGTATTAAGACAGTCAGGCTAGGAAAACAAAGAGCCACCTTGAAAGAAGGACTGTGCCGTACCGACAGGAACGTCTTCACAGCAACCACCAGAGCCGAGTAGGCAACCAGGCAGTCCCGTGGCCGGAGAGTGATCATCACAGGCTGTAGGAGGAGGTGGCTCCCCTGCAGCATGAAGTATCCAAAGGCCACCAGGTACCCGGCACGCAAGATGTGGATCCGTGTCGTTCCCGCCATAAACACCAGGCAAAGCACAAACCAGAAATGATACCGAAAAACAGCGACTTTGACCCTGTCCAGTTAGGAGCTGGAAGATTGAAGAGGCGAGGGAAAAAGAAAGAGGATATCATTAGACAGACACAAAGGTACCTCCCACAGGTCATCTTCAGATAGGAGGACATGCAGAAAACAGAGGAGGGGAGAGAAATGCAGTGAGCGGGAGACTCTCAGAGACCCATGACCGTGCTCGTGAGATGGGAAGCTCCATGAGGCCAGGGTCTTTCACGGTGTCAGGCTTATCAATGTGCAACTTGCATTCAATAAAATCCCCCTTTTTAAGGGTGTAGTTCTTTGAGGTTTGACAAATGCATACAGTCCTGTAACGACCACCCCAATCAAGATACAGAATATTCCCATCATCCTTGAAGTTTCCTATGCCCTTTGTAGCAATCCGCTACCCCACCTCCAGGCAACCAGCGGTCTGTTTTCTGTCCCTATAGCGTTGTCTTTCCCAAAATACCATGCAAACGGCACCGGGCAGCGTGTCACCTTTTGTGGGGGGCATGATGCTGTTGAGAGTCCTCCTGTGTGGTCACGTGTGTCAGTCATTCCTTTTTATTGCTGAGTGATGTCTCAAGCTATGGATGCACCCTGACATAGCCACTCATCAGTTAATGGACATTTGGGTTGTTTCCAGTTTTCAGGGATTATAGGCAAAGCTGCCATAAACTTTCATGGGCAGGTTTTTGTGTGGAACTAAGTTTCCATTTCCCTTGGTAAATACCTAGGAGTGGAATGGCTGGGTCACATGGCAAACGTACCTTTAACGTTAGAAGAAACCTGCCAAACGACAAGGTCTTAATGAATAGCACATGGAACTATATTCAATACCTTCTAAAAAAGAATATATAGGTTGCCAAGGGGGAGGGGGTGGGGGAGGGATGGAGTGAGAGGTCGGGATTAGCAGATGTAAGCTTTTATGTATAGAATGGATAAACAGCAAGGTCCTACTGTATAGCACAGAGGACTATATTCGACATCCTATGATAAACCATAATGGAAAAGAATATTTTTTAAAAAAGAATGTATATATATATATGTATAACTGAATTACTTTGCTGTATAGCAGTAATTAACACAACACTGTAAATCAACTATAGCTCAATAAAAGAATATATATAAACATTTATATACATATGTGTGTTTGTATATATATAATTGAATCAGTTTTTTATACACCTGAAACTAACACATCATTGTAAATCAACTATACTTCAATAAATATATATATATATACACTTTTTTTAATATACACTTTACAATAGTCAAAACAATGGAAATAATTACATGTCTAGGTCATTGCTGATTAAGCAAATTAGGACATATTCAAATGATGGAATATAAAGTAGCCATTTAAAATTATGATTACAAAGCATTTTGAAGTCATGAGAAAATGCTTACAAACAAGTCAGTGGTAAATGATCAATCCGTGGAGGCTGTTACTAGCAAGAAACCAGGACGCAAAATTGCTTATAGGACATGATCTCTACTATATAAAAATTATTTTAAGAGACTGGAAGAAAAAATGCTAAAATTTTAAGAGATTATGTCTGAAATTGCAACGATCTTTTTTCTGTTTTTGATTTTCTTATTTTTACAAATTACAGCAAGTAAGTGTCATTTGTAGGATCAGAATAGAAGTTAAATGTTATTGCTGAAGAAAAGTAAAAAGACACTGAATTGTCTTCCAAAGTGGCTGTACCACGCTGCCTTCCCCCCAGCTACGTGTGGCAGTTCCTATTGATCTTCATTCTTTCCAGGACTTGGTATTGTCAGGTTTTTGGTGTTTGGGGCTTTTAAAAATCTTAGCTGTTCTAATAAGTGTATTAGTGGCATCTCACTTTAATTTTTAATTTGAATTTCCCTAATGACTAATGATGTTGAGCATCGTTTCAAAATATTCTTATTCTCTTATCTTTTTGGGTTGAGTGTTTGTTCAACTCTTTTGCCCATTTTAAAAATTGCTTCCTTCATATTGAGCTACAGACATTCTTTATATATTCTGGATACAAGTTCTTATCAGGCACGTGTTTTGCAAATCTTTCCTCTCAGTCAGTGGTTTGTCTTTTCATGATCTTAACAGTGTCTTTTGAAGAGCAGAATATTTTATATTTTGATGAAGTGCAATTTATTGACTTTTTCCTATGGTGGCTCCTGCGTTTTGTGTACTATTTAAGAAATCTTTCTCCAACCCGAGGTCACAAAGAGTTTCTCCTATTTTTTTTTTGTTTGTTTTTTTTTGCGGTACGCGGGCCTCTCACTGTCGTGGCCTCTCCCATTGCGGAGCACAGGCTCTGGACGCGCAGGCTCAGCGGCCATGGCTCACGGGCGCAGCCGCTCCGCGGCATGTGGGATCTTCCCGGACCGGGGCACGAACCCGTGTCCCCTGCATCGGCAGGCGGACTCACAACCACTGCGCCACCAGGGAAGCCCTCTCCTATTTTTTTAATAGATGTTTTGAGTTTTACATTTGGGTCTACAATCCATTTCAAGTTGATTTTTGTATATGATACGAAGTACAGATAAAGGGTTTCTTTGTGCATTGGGAGGGGGGTGGATACGGATATATCCAAAAACGTTCCAGCACCTTTGATGAAAAGATTATCCTTTCTGAACCATCTGTTCCATTGATCTAGGTATCTAGCCTTTTGCCAGTAGCACAAAAGTCTTCAACTCCAATTCTGTTCTTCTTTTTTCATAATTGTTTTTGATATCCTACGTCCTTTGCTTGTCCATATAAATTTATTAATTTCTTTAAAAAAAAAAAAAGAGCCTGCTGGGATAACAGCAGGGATTTTTCTTCCTGTTGAATTCCTAGTGCTTTGAACAGTGCCTGGTACATAGTAGGTGCTCAATAAATAATTTCGAATGCGAGAATGAGTGGGTAGCACATGGCAGGGACCCGGTCAACATATGGTATATTTCTAGAAGGGAGTGCACTGAGGAGTTCAGAGAAGATGATACAACCGCTCGGGAAAACTACCTAGCAGTTTCTTACCCCACTAGATGTGCATTTACCTCACGACCCAGCAATCCCACTCCTAAATATTTATCCAAAGGAATGAAGACATATGTCCACAAAACCCTGTGCAAAAATGTTCACGGAAGCTTTATTCATATTAGCTCCGAGATGGAAACAACCCAGATGTTCATCAACTCCTCGATGGGTAATCAAAATATGGAATATTCATACAAGGGAATGCTACTCAGCCATAAAAATGAATGATTTACCGAAACATGCTAAAAAATGGATGGATCTAAAAACTACAACGATGAGTAAAGGAAGCCAGACACAAAAGAAGTACATACCATACGATTCCATTCAGATGAAATTCTAGAACAGGGAAAACTACCCTGCCATGCAGAAATCAGGTCAGTGGTTGCCTGCTGAAATAACTTACTGGGAAGAGGAATAAGCGATGTTTCTGGGGTGATGGGAGTGTTTTGTGCCCTGATCCACACCCACCAGCGCTGATTGAATATTATAATTACAATCTGGACGTTTCACTATATGTAAATTATACGTCAATTTAATTTTTTTTATTAAAAAAAAGAAAATCATAGTAACTTCATCTCCAAAGGAAGGAATTCTTGGGCCCGCGATGCTGGGCGGAAGGGGGAGACTGCCTACCCACCAGGCGCCCAGGACCAGGAGCCCAGGTCTCACTGGCAGAAGATGAAGTTGGGAATGGGGCTGAGCTGGGTGAGGTCGGCAGGCCTGAGCTCTCAGCTGATGTCCACATTGTCCCCTGCCTGCAGCCTCACTGATGCTGTGTTCTCGTCCACAAACACTTGTCACTGCAGGGAGACCACAAGGAGGAGCAGGAAGTCAACTGCAAAGACAGGAGGAAGGGGCCGTGGTCCTCAGCAGGGGCTGCCCACCCGCGGTCGTGGGTGTCCACGAGGAGCCCCCTGCGGCCAGCGAGGCGAAGCTGAGTGCTTGGGAGCCTTGTCCTCCTACAGCATCACAGGGGATCTTCCCTGCCCCCACCTTCTTGGCAGGGCACTTAGGACAGGAACACTGTGTGAGTTTCCAGGGGTCACTAGGCACCCTCAAAGGTCACAGAGTGTGCTGTGCCTCCTGGGGCCCCCTCACCCACTCAAATCGCGAATCCAAGCCACAGGTGGTGAGAGAGCCGCTGTCCCAGTGGAACTCTGGAATCCAAGGAGGGGGAGAGGCACAAAGTCTGGGTCTATCAGTATTTGATGGATGGATGGATGAATGAAAAAATGGATTTTGCACGGGACGGAATTCAAGGAAAAGGCGAGAGGTGGATGCAGGTAACGAAAACATGGACCATTGCCACAACTTACGCTTACATCCTCTCGTACAAGACTCAGCCTGTTTTCAAGAAGACGGATGTTTTCTAGACCAAGAAGGGCAAACCCCGAAAAGCACACGGAGTGCTCACTTTGGGATGGGTAAGGGCTACCTGACAAAATCCAAATTTTGGAGGGGCTTTCTTTGAGGCAACCCTTGGAAATCTGATTTGCAAATCAGCCATCCACTTTGGATTTGGTATCTAATTGGATCTCTGGATTTTAAACCGTCTATTGAAAAATCCTCCTCCAACCCCCAGCCCCATCAGAATAATGCTTATGAATTAAAATTCTCTCCGATGCAAGCATTTTTTTAATTAGATTGAGACCTTGGAACCTGGTAACTATATTTCTTCGCTGAGTACTGTCTGGGTGATTACAAGAAGATGAAATGGAGAAATATTGGAAAGAAGGTTGGCAAAGAAGCAAGACGGCAATGACACTTGGCGCGTCCCAAGTTCTCAACCGCCTGCCCGCTCCGAAGCTTCCCGAGCGAGGAGGTGCTCGGACACCCTCGGAACTCACAGAGTAACAAACTGGCATCTGGCTTCTTGGCAAAGTCTGGGAGATACACAACGGCTTAATGAGATTTGCATGTATTTCTGTACTGATGGTCGTCCATGGGTGATCTGTAAAGG